TTTTTCTTTTATGCCGGCATAACCCGCGGATCCCCCTGGCATAACCCAAGGACCTCTTTTATCCCGGCATAACTCGCGGACCTCCCTGGCATAACCCAAGGAGCCTTTTTCTTTTATCCCGGCATAACCCGTGGACCTCCCCAGCATAACCCGAGGACCTTTTTTCTTTTCTGGCAAAACCCGATCATTCTCCAGCATAACCTGGTAACCCCCCCTAGTTTAAGGCTTCATTCCCAAGGATACACAATCCTGATTTTATTGCTTAGATATGTGTCACAAATAACTCACGAAATTTTCCTAGTGAAAACTGGGGCAGAAAAATTTTGTTCGTTTGTTTGTTTTGGTGTCTGAGCAGGTTTGACCTCGAGGCATAGGATCCGAGGTAGCCGAAAGAATGAGTCTCCAGCCAGAATAAAGAAAGGAAGAAAAAGAACAAAAAGAAGTGAATTCAAAATGCTGAAATGAACAAAGATGCGGACTGCTCAAAACTTGATTGAAGTCACAAGCTCCGCCTGTCCCGCTTTGATCCCATGCTGAAGAAAGAAACAACACCTACAACTCGCGAGCATCAAGATTCAGATCGGAGTCCACAGCAAAATCAGCTAAGACTCAAGATCATGCTTCAAGAAAATTGTAGATAGGAATCTTGTAACTCATAGTTGATAGGCACAGCTAGCTTAGCTTTGATTTTCCTTTTGGTGTAATAAGGAGGTCAGCAAGCAGTAGCAGCAGCAACAACAGTGAAATCACAACTCCTGGTAGTCCCAACTACCAAAACTTCCAGAACTACACTGACCTGATTCCTTTATAGCCAAGGATATGTAGGCAACCTCTGAAGCAGGGTTCGGTCAGACGTTTTTCAAAAATGCTTCTCATGGAGTGCTAAGCGAGCAAAAATCCCTCATAATTGCTCATTTATCTTTGCCCGAAAACCCTTCGTGTCTCCGAGCAAAGAGGGGCAGCTGTGAGCATGCGATTTTTGCCTCGCTTGAAATACTCCTACAGAATTCTTAAAATTAGGATTTTTCCTTTAATTATTTGATTTTTTAGGATTTAATCGCATGTTTTTTGTGTTTGTTTGCATTTTTGTGGGTCNNGCTAATCAGTGTTCGAACGGGTTCCAAAATAACGCTATGTGTTTGTTCTTGGCAAGAACAAGCACATAACATTATTTGGGGACCGGATTCAAAGTCAGTCGATTTAAGGCCCAAAATCAGTGAGTGTTCTTAAATTTCCTTTCCTTCGTTGTTTGTAAATTTCTCCTCTAGTGCATAGTTTTCTGTTTTGTTCGATTCGTCTTCAATATTTCTTTCATTTTTTTGTTTGAGTTAGGATTGATTTAGGGTTCTAATTTGTTCCAATTACAGTTTTAATTTCGTTCTTGTTATTTGATTTGATTGCCTGTTTAATTTTAACCATAGGATTGCATGTTTGCTACTGTTTTACATTTTGATAGTGTAGTTTTAGTTCTATTTGTTTGATTTTAGTCATTAGTTTATTGTTTTGTTAGTTTAATAACAAAATTAGCCCTAAGACGCTTGGTTAATTAGAATTAATTTCTAGTGCTGAGCGAATTGGTTTGGTTGTAGCTGATCACTCCAGCTCCTTGGTTAATTAACCATAATCA